GGTGAACTTCTCAGATGACCCAAGTGCTCGTCAGATGCGAGCCAGGTTAGAAGAGAAAAGGATACCAACCCTGCAGCCAAAGGCGAACAGGACCGCGAATACTGGTCAAACCATGTACCAGAACAATACCGGCAGTATGGCGACGTCTTTTCCAAGAAAGCCTTGGAAAGAATGCCAACACGGAAGCCCTACGATCATGCAATCGAATTAGTCCCTGGAGCCTCACTCCCCAAGCCGGCCAAGTTGTACCCGCTCAACCTCGACGAACGGAACTCGCTTGAAGCTTGGATCACGGAGCAAGAAGACAAAGGCTACATCCGCACGTCCAAGAGTCCTACTGCCGCCCCAGTCTTCTTTGTCCGTAAAAAAGATGGGAGTTTACGTTTGGTTCAGGACTATCGCGCACTGAATGCGGTCACGAAGAAGGACAAGTTTCCGATCCCCCGGATCTCAGACCTTGTGGATAGGCTTTCGCACGCATCAATCTTCACCTCACTCGACCTAAGGTGGGGCTACAACAATGTTCGCATTCGCGAAGGAGACGAAGAGAAAGCCGCGTTTATCACTCACAAGGGACTGTATGAACCAACAGTTATGACCTTTGGCCTATGCAATGCACCTAGCTCGTTCCAAGCAATGATGAATGAGGTCCTAAAGGAAGAAATTGCGACCAGACATGTCGTGGTCTACATCGACGACATCCTCATCTTCACAGATGACCTCACTCTACATCGCCAACTGGTAGAACGGGCCCTGAAGAAGCTGCGCGACAACGACCTCTTCGTGAAGCCTGAAAAGTGCAAGTTTGAGCAACCCTCGGTTCACTTCCTCGGACTCGTCGTATCAAAGGATTCAATCTCCATGGACAAGTCTAAGGTGCAAGGTGTCAAGGAATGGCCTACTCCAACCAAAGTCAAACATGTTCAAGCCTTCCTCGGATTAGCCAACTTCTATCGGCGTTTTATTAAGGACTTTGCCAAGATTGCCCGACCGCTCACCAAGCTCACGTGCAAGGACATTCAATGGCAATGGGGAGAGGAACAAGAACAGGCCTTTGAAGGACTCAAAACCGCGTTTACGACAGCTCCAATCCTTCAGATCCCAAATGACACGGCTCCGTACCGGCTAGAGACAGACTCATCGGACTTTGCGACAGGGGCGGTCTTGGAACAACTTGGAGAAGATAAGCTATGGCACCCGGTCGCCTTCTACTCCAAGTCCCTCAATGTTCACGAACGTAACTACGAGATCTACGACAAGGAGCTTTTAGCCATCATCCGAGCCTTGGAAGAATATCGACACTATCTGGAAGGACACCCCGAACCGATTGAGATCTGGTCAGATCATCTCAACCTCACCTACTTCCGACAAGCACAGAAGCTCACACGCCGACAAGCCCGATGGAGTTTATTCATGTCTCGCTTCAACTTCGTTCTGAAGCATCGCCCTGGGAAGACAATGCTACGAGCCGACCCTCTGTCCAGGAGGCCAGATCATGAAGAGGGGGTAAGCAGTGATAACTTCGGACAGACACTGCTGAAACCCGAGTTTTTCGCAATCAAAGCCATACAACCTGGTCATGCCTCCATAGTCGACGATAAGGAACTGCTTGAACACATCAAGAAGGCCCTTGAGGACGACAAAATGACGAAGCACTACAAGGAACTGCTAGCTAGT